CATCCAGTTCATCCACAATGTAGCCCCTTTGTATCTGCTGCTCAAGTGGATAGCTAGCCCACCCCCTTTGCGATCTGCGTTTGTTATCAAATTGTTCAATTTGTGCCTCACAGACTGGCAGCCTGCCTCTGCCTCTGCCTGGTGGCATATTAAAGCAATTGTCTAATGCCACATGGCTGCTGGTGCTGGTAGTCGCGTGCCTCTGCCTCACGACGACCATTTCCATGTGTGTTTGGTGGAAGAAACCCGAGCATGTGAAAAATATTTTAATTACGCGCTTCTTTGTTTCACATTCTGGTATTTTCAGCTATTTTTGACAAAAAAAAAAAAAACGAAACAAATTATACATCCTATAGATGTACAAACAACGCCAATTTGCTGCAGCCGCGGATATCGAATGACTCGCCAAATGACGCAATCACTGGGTTGGGAGTATGTGTGGGAGTATGTTTTCCAGGGAAAGCGCTAACTGAAGGCTGGGAGAGCGAATTTCTGGAAAAGTGGTGCAGCTGTCAGAATACTAGGGAACTCTAGTCATAATAAATATTATTCTTAAAGCTACTGGTAAGTGGAGTCATATAACACTCCTATTAGATAACAAGACGCGACTTTCTCCACCAATCTTGATAAGCTTGACTAACTAGCTGACCATCGATCAGTGCCCTTTTGGATGTCAACGCATCGTTGCACTTTCGGTTGCAAATCAAAACACAAAAATAAAGCCACGATCACTGGCCCGATCATGACAAAAGATTTTAATTGAATTTGAAAACGCAATGAGACGTGTATGGGCAGCGGCTTTGAATCGAATCGGAACGGAGTCGAGCCAAGCGGAGGAGCGGTATCCAATAGATTGTTTTTTTTTTTCTGACTGGCTCGAGTACGCACTTCGCATAACAATTGTCAACAAATTTATGAGCACGTCAGTGGAAGAGAATCTGAAGCCAAAGCCCAAGCCGAGCCTATAAAAATACTAAATTAAAATGCTACTGGTACTTGCCACTAATACTAAACAAAAACCAAATCGATCGTGACGTTGGCCAATCAAATGTATCTGAGGGATGGGTGATGGGTGGATGGTGGGTGAGGGATGGGCTCCACCATTTGTTGTTAACTTCCAAAAACCAGAATCAGTTTCCGATCTACCAGAGTTGGCCAGAAACGCCCCAGAATTCCAATGGCCGAAAAGAAAGAAACCATTTTCCAATCATCTAATTTTAGATTGAAATGAAACACATTTCAAAATTTCATGAAAAACAAAAACAAAAACGTCGGGAAAGATTTTTGTGTATCCGCCGAGAGTCATGCCGACGATCGGCCAGCTATATATGCCTTCGGATACATATATTTAGATACATATATATATCGGCCATATAAACACTCGGGGGCGGTTCTTTCTGGCTTTCGTCTCGGGTTCTAAGGGGGGGCGATGGATGCACAGAGTGACTAGGTAGGTGCCTAGGTGCGTATCTGACAGATACACCTTGGACTGCAGTAACCAAGAATTCTAAATATATATACATTAGTTCAGGTGCGGGTGTTGCTAAATTAGAGACAAAATAATATCAAAATGGGGGCTACTATATAGAGCCAAGTAGACAGGTAGACACAAGCCCCCAGACGTCATGCGGAAGATGGACGTAGATATCTCATACGTGCAGTTATGCTTGGTCGGCCGGTAATCCGAGATCTGAGATCGGAGATCGGAGATGCGAGGAGAGCTCTCTTTTCACACAGTCTAGGCACACTTCAACTGTGCAAAATGCGACTATGAATAGCGGCGAGAGAACCACAACCAGATACAGATACAGATATTCGGCTGGGAAACGTGCTCCAGCGACGTGTGTCATGAGGCAGCGGCTATCTAACAGATACTACACTGTATCTGGCGAATATCTGGCCAAAAACTCAGTTGGCTCGGTTCGGGTTGTGAGTCAGACAGCTCTCGTCAACAACCAAAATTTATGTCAGCAGTGCCACAAGCGTTCAAATGATGAAAACCATAAAAAGGCGGTAAAATAAACAGAAAGAAATGTATACAAAGTGTAAGATACTCCACCTATAAGATACACACACACACACAGGGTATCTATTGAATGCAAATAACTCTCTTTTTAAATGCCATTTTATGAACCGATAATCCCAGCTAATAGAGCTGCAATTAACACGGCTATACATTAATGAAATGCACTGTAGTTTATAGTAGATGTTGTAGATATTTCTTCACTGGCTGGCAGCCCAACAGGTAGCCCCGCGGCAAAACCCCAAAGCTCCCCATCATCCTAACCAGAGGCATATGTTTATGAAACAGAAACCGCAACCTCAAAAGATACTAGATGGGGGTGGAGGTGGAGGTGCAGGTGAGGCAGGAAGCTAATTAGATCTCTTGCAGGTATATAAATATTTCTTAAATATTTTAGCTCCAAATTCTTTCATAAATATTCTTCTTTAAAGTCATAGCCATTTTTTGAAAAGGGAAACCCTCTTCTGGGTCGGCCCGCATGTCAACCATCCACCGAAAACAAAAACAAAAACAATGCCCCACCGACAGCCGCAATTGAAAAGAGAAAGTTGCAGAAACGCCAAAGTTGAGGCACAAAAAACAGAAAAACTTCTAAAAAGTTGAAAAGTTGAAAGCCGTTAGTAGCACGGATAGTTGCAGAAGATAGTGATGGTCAACGTTCGTCCATTTTTTGTGGGTTTTTGGGTTCCCGACAACCGACATCCGACATCCAGTTCCAAACCCTCCTCCCACTAAGCTGATAAGCCACACCATGGATTGGCTTTTAAAGTGGATCGGTGGGGGGGGGTGGTGGGTGGTCTGGTGGAACGAGTTTTACTGTCAACGCTTATGGGCTTTCGGCAAACACCCAGTTTGTGGGACGGAAACTAGTTTGCTAAAGTCACAGCTATGCCCAGAAATGAGCCAAAAAAACAAGAATAATAGTTAATGGGTTCGGGCCAAACGATACCTGGTAGTTAATTATCCGATAACTCTCGATGATTATTCTTAATTATCAGAATCTTGCATTTATAATCCAATTAGAGGGAGTTCAGATGGGAATCTTGGATGATATAGACCACTATATGGTTCTAAGAGATGGAACTAACTAAGAGTCTGAGTCTGATTATCTAGAACAGGAATGTATCTGAACCTTATTTATAAGAAATTTTAAATCAAAACTGTCCAACAACTCCACAAGTACCCTGCAGTATCTGCAAGTACGCCTGTATCTGTATCTGTGTATCTGTGCAACATAATTTTGTCATTACGAGGCGACACTCACTCGCTGGCCCGGCCTGCATATGGCCAACAGATGTTGGGCAAATAATCCAGAAACGAGAGCTCGACGGTACGAGATGCGGCGACCAGGTAGTGGCACGCCCACAGAGCCCACCACCGCCTCCACCCCCGCCCTCGCACCTAAGCCCGTAGCATTCCCGAAAGTTGACTCTTCGAGTGTTGTTTTGGTTTCTCGGGCGTGGGCTCGTGCATTTTTCAGATACTTTTTGGAATTCGGATTCTCTCAAAAGTATCTCCGAATCTATGGGATTAAGATAATTGAGAGGCTGGGGTACTGATTGTGGAAAGTTATCAGTGGAGGCTTCTCCACCCCCTTCATTTTTGTGTACGAATGGCCGAACAAAGAAATCACAACAAGAACCACCACAAAGGAGGCACGATGGGGAGTCAAGTGTGGGGGCCCCCAGACACAAGACCGAAGAAGATCCGAAAGAGGGGCCAGCGATAGGGAGAGAGCCGAAAAGGAAGTAACTAAAAATAACAAACATCTCGTCGTCGGGTTCTCCTGTCTGGCGCTGCTGTTGTAAGGTGGAATGAACTCGAAAAGGAGGAGAAATGGAAGAGAGACGTGAAAGAGGCGATCGAGACACGCGAGATCGGTTGGCGGGTTTGCGGGTGGCGGGAACTTAACCCATTGAAGCGACGTCTATCGACGGTATCTTAGCTTTTGCCAAAAATTCTGCGTTACTTCATCATCATCAGATGATATCATTTTCACACTTGACGTGACTAATAACGTAAATATCGATTGTTTCTTTAATTTGAAAACTATCGGGTGTATGGGGATGTATGGGGAGTAGGGGGAATACCATCTATTGGATCTCGGCTACAAGTTATACGTTTAAAGGAACTTTTAAGATTCAGTTTTCTATAGAAATTATAGTACTATTTATGATATAACCTAGGGGATTCCCTTCAAAGTACCTCAATTCTAGGGATTTTTAGGATTGAGTTCTTTAGAGTTCGTAGAGGATCTTATACGATATAATAGGACTAATGCAAAGTATGATATGATCTAGTACCTGGATCAAGAAACTTTTAAGTGTGGAATGCACTTCTTGTATGGTTTTGGGAGGGAGTTTTGAATCGAAATTATATTACAATTTACGATATGATATAGTGGATCCATTTTAAAAGTACCTAACTTCTAGGAATTTTTAGGATGGTGAACCAAATGGAACTTATAGAACGAACTATGATATTATCAAGAAACTTTGAAGTTTGGAATGCACTTCTTATACATATGTAGTTAGTAACTATCCCGTGGGATGATATATTCCCCATAAGATCTATTGGATCTCTGGCATAAGTTCCACGATTCAAGGAACTTTAGGGATGGGTTTCTGTATAGAAATTATAATACTATTTACGATATGATCTAGTGGATCCTCCAGTAAAATCCATATTTTTAGGTACTTTTGGGATAAAGTTCTTTATGGAACTAGTAGTACGATCCAGTAGATCAAGTAACTTCAAAGACTTAGTTCTGAATAAAATCTATAATACTATTTCTGATACGATCTAAGAGATCCCCTTTCAAAGAAACTAAAATTCCAGGAACTTTTAGGATAGAGTTCTTTATTAAACTTATAGCTCTATTTATGACATGTTCTAGTACCAAGACCAAAGAACTCTTAAGATGAAATGCACTTCTTATAGGTAGTTATCCTCTGGTCTTCTGAAAACCACAACTTACCTTCGTCCAACAGGCGTTCGACGTGAGTGAAGACATTGGGGAAGGCGGCCAGTTGCTTGCGATCCTTGAGCAACTGGGCCAGATAGTCGGCGATGCTCTGTGTGCTCTGCTGCTGCTGCTGTGGCGTGAGATGGGGCTGGGGCACCACCTGGACCTGGGGGGCTTGCTGCGCCTGGGCCTGGGCCTGAGCCTGGGCGGCCTGGACCGCCTGAGCCTGCTGCTGGGCGGCCTGCTGCTGCTGAACGGCGGCGGCTGCAGCTACGGCGGCGGCAGCGGCCTGTTGCTGCAACTGTTGTTGCAGTTGCTGTTGCACAACGGCTTTGCTCTCACAGACACTCATGTCGCGTTTGTGTGTGTGTTTGTGGGGGGGCTTTGTTTATTCTTCTGTGAGATTCTTGTTACAGAAACCAAACTTATAACTTGACTCGAGGGGTCTTTTCAACGATTTTTTCACTATTTTTCAGCTTCTTTTCAACACGTTACTGTAGGAGGGATTTGTAAATTTTTTTAAAATTCATTAATTATATATTGTCCGATTTATATATACGAGTCCGTGTATATATTGATTTGCCACAAAACAGAAGACAGAAAACAGAAAAACGGAAAACGAAATGAAAACAACTCCACCCAAAAAGGTTTTTCGGCCAGCAACAACAACAACAACTTGGTCTCTCGCATACCCACTCGTACACACACACACTAACAGACACATACACGCCCAGGAGAGAAGACAGAAAATTCCTCAGCGATCGTCTCTCAACGATCGTGGGTCGATTGTCAGTGTGTGTGCGTGTGTGTGAGTGAGCGCAACAACCACGACGGAGATGAATGAAAGCAGAATGTCAAAATATCTGCCTCTCCCTCGCGCTGCAGCAAATACAAAAAAAAAAACGAAATAATTTTATATGCAAATTACACTTCTTATTTCCAGCAGATTTACAGAACTTGGCGAAATCAGTTGGCACTTTCATAGAAATTTCACCAATTGCAGTTTCTCTGAGCTTCTAAATCACCAAAAAGTGCCCCAAAAGGCTGAAAAATTAGCAGAAATATGCACAGTTGCTGATTATGTAGTTGTTGTTGTTGTTGTTACGGCCCAAGCTGCGTTTATAGTTTTCACGTCTGATGGCGTTTCCGTTTCTCAGTTTTCTCAATGCGAGTACACACTTTTTTGTCCGAGCGAGGATCATCTACTACTTGATCGATACGGTTTCGGGACGATTCCCTTTAGTCTTCAGTTAAGTCTTAGAATTAGTTTTAGGTTTTTTAGATAACTGAACCGAACCGAGTGAGAGCTGACGAGTGAGTGAGACGTTTCTCGCGTTTTACGTTTGTACGTTTATCATTTTCCCGTTTGTATATACATTCGTTTTCGCTGTTACGTTCGATAGCTCACGATCGTCGGTATTTTTCGTCGATTTTCTGGTATTTTTTGTTATCGATGTCCCGCCATAACCGGTTTTTGCCCGTTTCATATTTTCCCGCCCACGATACAAAATCCCATTCTGATTTTAAGTTTGAATCTTTTATTTATGTATTCAAAATTTTATAAGATTTAAACCTTAAAATGAAATAAAAAATAAATTTAATAGAGATATAACTTTAAAGATCAGTAGCTCTTAAAAATATATACCTGATAATTAAAGCTTCCCGGTATTTTACCTTGTCAAGAGGTTTTGTTATTTGATTCAAATTGAGGCATATGAATTGCGTTCGGAAATTGCTCTGACAGATTAAAACCGATTGCGGGGGCAACTTCATGTTGGCCAAAACGCTATGCAAATTAGCCAGCCCAAAACCCGCATTGACCAAATGTTGGTGTCAACTTGGTTAGCTGCGCTTTTTGTGGCGGTGCCTGGTGTTGCGAAATGTATGTGGGAAAATTGGCATTGGCCATATAAGCGACCCTAGGCCGACAACAACTTTTACTTTCCATCGCAGAGCCTCTTTTCGCCGCCTGGCTTCCGTGTATTTGGCCAATACGGCGAGTATCTGGCACCCGCATGCACTTAAATGAGACGTGAAAGTTTGGAGTGGACTCGGATGGTCAGTGGACATTCGATTCATTTGGAAAGCAGGCGCCCACCTCGTTGCCAAAGAGTTACCAGGCCCGGCCTGGTCAAGACGAGTCCCACAGGCCTAGATACCTGCTATATAACAACTTGTTTTGCACAGGGTTCCAATAATGTGGTTTATTTGTTTTATAATCTTTAAAAATTTAAGGGATTTTTCATATTTCGAATTTATTTTCGAGTGCAATGTTGAAAACGTGTGCACTTGCCTTCAACCGATCGATCGACCTGTGTGTGGGCCGCCATTATTTTATATGGGCCCCATTATACAGCTTTTACTGCCATGGAAATATGTGTCAATGTGCGCACCGATTGAGACATTGTATCCTATGGATTCCGATTATGCCGCCAAAAGCCCTTTCCAATCCAAACACCTACGCGGCGGCGCAAATTTCGGTTTTGGACATCTGGCCGATCCAAAAAGTTCCAAGTTTTCCGTGGGCCGCTAATCTCTCTAGGGCTTTGAATTTATCTTTCCTCGGTCTTTTGTGCTTTCGTTTTTATTTTTTCTACATTTTTGGTTTTTGGTAGCTGTTTGGCTTTTTGGGAAACTCAAATCCCCGGAACACAAAGCTTCTAGCAACTGTGAAGTGCAGCGAGAAAACCATCAAAATATTTTAAAAGCATTCCTCAATGAGTTGAATAACTAAAGGGGATATATTTTTCACACTTCTTGGGAGTGCTTTTATGTTAGGATTTAATATTGCCAGCAGTATTTGTCAGAAACTGTTTTAAAGACTGGAAATACTGGGACCTGATCCTGTCTTTAGGCTAAGTATCTTAATTAGTTCGAAGCTTCTTGAAAATGAAGTCTTATAACGTTGTCTAAATCTTTGAAACTATAATCTCTTATAGTGGTTCGAAGTTTAGCCTTATTTTGATTTTTCCATAAAACTATATTGCACCTCTCGATAGTCCCTACTTATAAGGAAGTGGCCTCACAGATTGTCAAACCAAACAAAGTCCACTTGCATTGTTGACACTCAGTCTCCACTGGCCAACTGGCATCCTTTTTTGTCCGACACACGTTTCGGCCAAATGCAAATTTGGCCAAGACATTTAACGGCTCTTTGGCGTATTGGGCCGTCGAATTAACCATTCTTTCGGCTGATTTACCACCGACACAGAAAGCCCACTGGCAGTATGTGTAATTAGCAATATGTACACATACATTGTACAATATATTGGATAAAAGTGGCAGTGGGAATTTAACCAGTTTTTCAGTTGTTTCCATTACGCATGACACGCGGTGTGTGTGGGCGCCTCCGGTTTTTTGTTTTTTTTTTTAAACTTTGAGAACTGCAACACCCACACAGGTACTTCCATATGAACATATGCAGGTATCACCCAGGTAACTCAGGTTGTCGTGAAGGGTTTGTAGTTGAAATTCGAATTTCAAATTCGAAAGAAAGTTTCTCCAAGATCTAACTAGTAATTTAACCAAGATCTAATAAATGTATATTTTTTTAAATAAAAATTTAGCCTATGCCACTGCATTGTCAGTGTGTCACAACCCACAGGTGGATGCTGTCAGCCCCCCCTCTTTCTCTCCAGTTCCATTCATAAAGTTTCCAGTTTGCATATGCATAGAGTATGCTCTCGGCTCACAACCTGTCCAGCTGATTGGATTTAACAAGCCGCAAACTAACCCAAACTAAACCAACCCCGCTGCCCGGAGTGCGCATGAATGGTTAAGCCAAAAAGCCCGGGGTTTCATTCACAGAAAATATCGTTAGTTCGGCGCTACAAGTGTGAGTTTGTATGAATTGGCGGCGTTGATGGAGGGAGGTGTGGGCACCAGTGGGCGTTGCGGTCTCCAACATTCATTCAAACCGCCCACGCCCCCACATCTAATTTGCTGATACATTTTGATGGCAGCCAACTGCTGCGCATTTACAGTCGATCATCCGCATCACAGAAAAGGCATCAATAAGGTAACAATTTTTTAAAATTGGGAAATATAGGGTACAGTTTTGGCTTTAAAAATGAGCATATGGTTCCATCCGTCGAACAAAATTAATGAAACCTATGCTTAAGGGGGTCTAAAGGCCAAAAAGAGGCGCAGAGGCGCAAAATTCGTGATGGGATCCCTTGAAAATGGGGTTTTCCCTTATAGGGTCCACAGTGATGGCTATATCTTCCCCAATTTTCATCCGATTCTCAAGCGGAGTACCTTAAACGATTTCTATACCGAGACAATACCTGAGACAAAATATTTTTTAAATTTTTTGTCCATTTTTCGTCATGGGATCCCTTGAAAAGGGTGTTTTCCCTTATAGGGTCCACAGTGAGGACTATATCTTCCCCAATTTTCATCCGATTCTCAAGCGGAGTACCTTAAACGATTTCTAGATCGATTCTCCACCATTCTGCATCTAAATCCTGAGACTAAATAATTTTGAGATTTTTTGTCCATTTTTCGTGATGGGATCCCTTGAAAATGGGTTTTTTTCCCTATATGGCCCACAGTGATCGCTATATCTTGCCCGATTCGCAAATATATACATTTCAAAAACCCTGTTCAAAATTTCCCTAACATTTCATTGTTAATTATTAAAAATTTTCAGGTTGATTCGATCTTATTCCGCAATAATACAAAGTAGAAAAGTAAACATACTAAATGTCTTATTTTGAAAGCTTTATGGGGCATGGGGCACGTGGGTGAGGGCATGGAAAAGACAACTCTTGCGGGTGGAAAATGTTTTATTGGAAAATTGATCGCGACCCAATGCCGTTTCAATTGGCAATTGCATGTGCAGTGGGCGCCGTCAGTCACCAATTGATTAAGAGCCCGATTATCGATTAGCTGTGCCAACACCACATCAGCGACGGGCAGCCGAACCGAAAAGAGTTGGAGCTCCACGGGGCCGATGGAGCGTGGGCCATAAACTGGCACAATTCAACGGGCGAATCACAAAATGAGAGGCGCAATCGACCAAATTTGGGAGTCCAATAAACATTTGAAACAAAAAACAAGCCACAAATATGGAGATGCCACATCCGCATGGAGAGATCGAGTGGGATGTTGCCGGCCAAATGGTTACGAGAATGGTCGTGAAATGGAAACATTTACTTTTATTTTATTTTTGTTTTTTTTTGTTTTTGCCTACATGTATACACAATCAAATAAAGAGACAGATCATTGCCCAAAATTATAACTATCGCATAAACTTCTTGGCTTGACCTCGGTTGACCTGCTTGAAGTGTCGTTGCTTGCTGTCCGAGCCCTCGTTCATTTTCTTGTAGTACCCAAAGCCACCGCCACCCACTCGCTTTTCCGGTCGCTCCCTCTTGGCCGCACCCACTTTCAGGTCAACCACGGGAGGCACCAGGAAGCCAAAGCTTTTGGCCACAGCCTGCAGGTCCAGGGTGTTGACATTGAATATCTGCTTCAGCTGGTGGGAGTCATAGGCCCTCACGTATGATTTGAATGCCTCCTTGGCGGATTGGTTCAGGAAGTAGTTCTTAGCTATCAGTTTCTCCAGCTGAAAGGACAGAAAGATCCTTTAAAAAAATGAATCTTTAGATAATAGCCTTGTAAAGGATCCTACCTGCAGTTGTATATCGGCAATTTTCTGCCAGGAGAACTCAAACTCATTTAGCGGCACCTTGGCGGCCTTAAGGTAGCGCAGGAAACCCAACTCTTCCGGCCGCATCAACAACAAGGCATGTCCCGAGGTTCCCGATCCTCTGGCCGTACGACCCACCCTATGAATGTATTCACGCGGATCATCTGGAGGATCGTACTGCACAATCCAGTCCACCTGCGGAATATCGAGACCTCGAGCAGCCACATCCGTGCAGAGCAGGATACCAGACTCGGCATTACAAAACTGGAAGAAAGTGGTTGTGCGTTTCGTCTGCTTTTGTTTTCCGTGGATGGAGGTCACCGGCAGGTCAATGTAGTTGAAGAGTTCGTGGTGGTACTTGACGGACATGCATGACGAGAAGAAGACCATCACCTTCTTCTTGCGGTTCTTCTTCAGGAAGGTGAAGAGCACGAGCAGCCGCTTCTCCGAGGGACACACAATATAGCCCTGCTCCAGGCCATCAACGGTGGCCGTGTCTTGGTTGTCGTGCACACCCACATAGATGGGTTCCGCTTTGAGGGCCAGCTTGGACAGGGCGTCAATGCGAGCGGTTTGTGTAGCCGAGAAGAGCATGGTCTGACGACGTTCTAAAAACAAGGAGAGATTAGTACGCTTTCAACATAATAGTACCCCCAAGTCCCCTTACTTGGTAGCAGATTTATGATTTGCTTCAGCTCCTCCTCGAAACCAATCTCCAATATCCGATCCACCTCGTCGATAATCAGGCACTGCAGGTTCTTGTACAGAAAATCGGGTGAGTTTTGCAAATGATCGAGAAGTCTTCCCGGCGTGGCCACCAGAATGTTAATACCCTTGCCCAACTTTTCGCTCTCCACCTGTCGGTTGGATCCGCCCATCACCAAGCCATAGGTGTGGTGATGATGCGCCATCAGTTCCTTCAGAACCCCGAAAGTCTGCATGGACAGCTCTCTCGTTGGGGAAATAATAATCACTCCAGTGCCATTGCGGGGCATAAAGCGCAGCTTGTTTATCAATTCAACAGCGGGTATGAGGAAGGCCAGTGTTTTGCCGGAACCTGTTTGCGCAGCTCCGACCAGATCGCGTCCCTTTAACAACGGCGTCAATGATTTGGCCTGGATTTCGGTCATCTCCGTAAAGCCCATTTCCTGAACGGCTCTTAATGTGGCCTCAGAAACGGCTCCTTTCAGCGAGCTAAAGCTTCGATCATCCGAATCTCGGTAGTCCAAGGCAGCAAGCGATGATTCCACAGTGAAGGGCTCATCGTCCTTGATGGGCTTGCCATTCTGGGGCTTCGATTTGTTGGGCAGCAGCTTAGACTTCTTAGCAGGCACCGGCGTTTCGTCATCTAGAATAGATTACTTTCGTTATTTTCATATTTGAACTGAAGATTAAAGTTAAAATTATTATATTTCTCAGTATTTTTGTATGAAATTTCATGTCTGCCATGGACAGCATTAACCCGCTGATTCCAAGCAGTCAAATTCGCCTTTGAATCATCATGGCAAAGGCTACTGACAGTTCACAGCCCACTAACTGACCTTCCTCCTCATCGTCGTCGGTTCCATTGGCCACATCATCTTCCTCCTCCTCTTCCTCTTCACTGTCGACATCCACATCATCCTCTGGCACACCTTCGGAATCATCTTCATCCGAATCCGAATCAGAATTCGCCACCTGGATCTGGGGCTTCTTGGGCGCCTTCTTTTGTTTCTTTGATTTAACCACTGGAGCCTCCTGGAAATCGTCATCTAAATCGTCTGGAAACAAAAGATTAAATTTATCAAAGAAACTAAGATCTGATTTCCAAGACCTACCATCGTCCTCATCCACAGGCTTTTTGGGCTGCTGCTTGCCTTGCTTTTTACTGGGTTTATTCTTTTTTTGTTGCTGTGGAGGCTGGGGCTCTGGGTTTTTCGCCTTGGCCTTTTTCTGTGACAGCTCCTTCTTCATTTTTTCCCTCTTCACTATCTTCTTCATCAGCAGCTTCTCCCGAATCGACATTTTTGTTAATTCTTAAGTATTTTAATAGATTTAATGGTAAAGAAAAACAAGATTCCGAACTAAACAAGCGCGCACGTGTTGCAGGAAAGTTATCGATAACGTTCGTGATTCACAATCGATATGCAACATGTTTTAGGGTGAGACCGTATTTTCTTAAATATTTTTTAAATTAAAAAAAATAACTTATCAATGATTACAAATTAATTATAATTTTTATTTCTTTAGATTAAGAATAATAAATTACTTTACTTTTATTTTTATGGTTTGGAACGACCTTCGTGTTTAGATAAAACCAAATAAACAAAACCTGCATTCTTTCTTATCTCTTTAGAAAGTGTATTCTTATCATTACATGAGATCATATTAGCTTAAAAAAAATCAACAATAGTGTTTAAACAGTGATTCAATTCTAATTTTTGTTTATTTTTTATACAAATTTATACAAACTTAATAAGACTATAACATATTAAAATTCATTCGCTTTTTTCCATAATATTTCTTAGAATAATAAATGAAAAAAGGGTTTTTTTGCTTTATTTTTGGTCAAAGCTTATCATATGACAACGGGGAAGCACTATGGGTTATCAAGACTCTTGATAAAATTTAAAAAAGTCTATATTTTCTGCATAAAACTAAATCTAATACGACATTATCTGCTCCACCTTCTTTCGGAGATCGTTTCTACCACTTTCTCCCAGGGCACGACAAAGACGAATCAGGAAGTGCTTGGGATCATGGCAGTCATCCTCCTCAATTAGCTGCAACAGTCGTAGAATTTGTGACTTCAGGTCATTGGGGAAGCGTTGCTCGATCTCATCCATGGCGCCCTCCCCAATATCAGCAGCACGACCCAGTCGCCGCCAGAAACGACCCAGTTCCTCGGATATTTTTTTGAAAACAGCGGCTCGTTTTTGTGGCGTATACGCCGCTGGGCTAGTATAGTTCTGGGATGGTGGTGGAGTGGCTAAAGCCACTGGAGCCGAGGGTGGGTGCAACTGAATCGGAGCAAACCGCAATTGCTGCTGCAGCTCCTCTGCGAGGCGTATCTCCTGGTAGCGGTTCACCAACTCGCTGCATCTTTCTGGCGGAGTATACTCATCCAAAGCATGGGCCAAGTCGGGGTGGTTTGTGCACATCCGACGCAGTGGCTCCACATTGTCCTCGGCCAATTCGTCGGCCCTCTCCAGGCAGTCAATCAGGTCCGCTACGCTTCTGATGCGGTCATATCGTCTCTTGGATCCAATTTCCTCGCTGAACATTTGCTTTAGCTGTTCCACATCTGAGTTGCCTTCCAGGGCCAGCTTCTTCAGAATATCGTAGCTCCAATGGGTTCCCGTCATTGTGACTAATACCAGGAATATAATAACTGGGTCTGAAATGGCCCAAAGAAACAAAAGGGCGTCAACGCTTTTGCAGAGATTTTGTATTTCTTACATGTTGTAAATTAATAAATAAATTTGGGTTTATTTTAATTTATATTTAATTGATTCGTACACTCTATTTACGATATGATAACGCCGCTATCTTCTACTCTTTTGATCAGTGAAATCGGGTTTCAGGTGTATCTTTTGGTTTTGTACGAAATCGAATATATCGAATAAGTGTATCGGAAAAGCAATAATATCGATAGCAAACATATTTTTGCCATCTCTAACCGAAACCCTCCAGAAAAGAATGCCATCTCCGTAATTCGGAAAACAAAGCGTGAAACTTTATGGAAATCTCCATCAACGTCTTCGTTTTCCTGCTCTATACCCTGGTTGTGATCTATCTGCAGCATTTTGTAAACAAGTACACGGAGTTCGTGCGCCGCCTATAAATGCTGGGCCTGCAATCGTACGGCAGCTCCTCGGAGGGCGAGTCCGACCATGAGGAAGCTACTGCCGCAGAAGCACCAGTTCCAGCCCATCTACAGCCCGTTGACAAGACACACTCGCTATCCACACAAATCGCCATTTGTGCGGCACCGGCGGTGGTGCCCATTGGCGCTTCGGCAGTGCCCAGGACCCTGGATCCCACGCTTAAGGAAGTCACCTACAATCCACGATATGAAGAGATGTACACTCCGGTCAAGGGACCCGATCATCCAGACATGACCATGCAACAGCGCGCACCGCGAAACACACTTGCCGGCTACGTGGAGAAGGCACACATCAATGCCTTCGAGTTCGAGAACCAGCGTCGCACTTTCCACACCTACGGCTACGCACTGGATCCCAGCGTCGACGAGCAGGCCGATGGAAAATCGTATGTCGGGGATCTGCAATCGGCCTACGACGACAATGGAAAGACCGTCTTTGAGGCTCCCAAGGCTAAAAAGATGAGGAAGCAGGAGAAGAACGACAATCCTGAGGATATCGATGGCTTCCTCGGACCCTGGGGTCGTTTCGAAAACGAGGTTACGGTGGCCAAGCCCAACGAGCAGGAGCGGGCCGAGCTGGATGAGCTGCTTTCGAAGCGACACAAGCGCGGACGCATTCCTGAGGATAAGCCGTTGGAGGAGAAATCAACCTTACACAGTGAGTATGCTGCAAGCATGCATCCAGTATACCTTTTACCATTCTATCATTATAGTCAAGGATCAGTACGACTACCAGGGCCGGTCATATCTTCATGCTCCACACGATCTTGGCGTGAATCTACGTTCCAATGCCCCGCCGCCTAAATGCTTCCTGCCCAAGGCGCACATTCACACCTGGACGGGCCACAACAAGGGAATCTCCTCCATCCGCTGGTTTCCCAAGACCGCTCATCTGTTGCTTTCCGGCTCGATGGATTGCCGTGTGAAGCTGTGGGAGGTTTATGGAGAAAGGCGCTGCATACGAACCTTCTCGGGTCATCGGCAGGCCATTAAGGACATTGCATGGAACAACAAGGGCACCAACTTCTTATCTGCATCTTATGATCGGTACATAAAGCTGTGGGATGCCGAAACGGGCGACGTGGTGTCGCGGTTCACGACCCGAAAGATGCCATTCTGTGTTAAGTTCCATCCGGATAACAGCAAGCAGCATTTGTTCGTGGCAGGAACCTCTGACAAGAAAATTATTTGCGTGAGTTTACTTCATAAATATAAGGAGCTACTTGCTCTAATCTTTTATCTCATCCTCAGTGGGACACTAGGAGCGGAGACATTGTACAGGAATACGACCGGCACTTGGGATCGGTTAGCACCATTACCTTTGTGGACGACAACCGACGTTTTGTGACCACCTCGGACGACAAGTCGATGCGCATCTGGGAATGGGACATACCCGTGGACATGAAGTACATTGCCGACCCGACCATGCATTCCATGCCGGCTGTCACCCTGGCGCCAAATGGCAAATGGATGGCCTGCCAGTCCCTGGACAACAAGATAGTCATCTTCTCGGCTTTAAATCGCTTCAAGATGAACCGGAAAAAGACCTTCACCGGTCACATGGTCTCCGGCTATGCCTGCCAGTTGGACTTCTCGCCCGATATGAGCTACTTGGTGTCTGGAGATGGTGATGGAAAGTGCTACATCTGGGACTGGAAGACGACGAAAATGTACAAGAAGTGGCAGGCGCACGATGGCGTCTGCATCAGTGCGCTGTGGCATCCGCACGAAGCCAGCAAGGTGGTGACTGCCGGCTGGGATGGCCAGATAAAATATTGGGACTAAACGGTCCGCACAAAATCCCTATATATCCTAGATGTAAGTCCCAAAATGCCTATGTAAATTGATGATATGTATATTAAATAGACCCGCTAGGTTTCTTGACTTTATTTACGTTTATGATAAGAGTGCGCCTGCGCAGTGCCAAGCTAGAAAAACCGCCACCCACCCCCACCTGGCAGCCCAAAACATATGCGACTGTTGGCCAAAATCGATATTTTTCAAAGGCGCACAAACATCGGAGCAGATAGAAATAAAATCCAAATTAGGTGATTTAGGAAGTGAGTCGGTTCTAGGATAGAGATCAGTGTCGGGAGATGAAGTAACGGCGGAGGGAGCTCTCAGAGTATTGCCACATACTAGCCAGCCAGCGCCATGGCCAAGCCTCACTCTGATGCAGACGCCTCTGGCCTGGGCTATGCCTACCAGCTGCCGTCCGGCGGCCTCCTGCTGCGCCTCAAGTCCTCCCTATCCCAATTCAGCGATCTGTTCAGCGACTTTAGCAGATATATCTCGCCTGCTTACCACCACGACCGTTGCGAGAGGTCCGTGCACATGCGACTCTACTCGATGCACAAGCGGGAGTTCGTCATGGTCTTCCTGGGCTTCTTCACCTGCTTCGGTTTGGGCATTGTTATCGGGCTGACGGGTCCGCCCATTACCAGCACTTCGACACTCACAGCCCAGCAGATACTGGCCAACACCTCGCTAGCCCACAGCACCACCGTCCTGGCCACCGGACCGTTTGCCATGAAGTCACCTCTGACCACCACCTACTCGCAGCAGCTGTGGCTGATTGCCAAACTGGTGACGGGCAACAATGATGGTGAGTTTGGGTATCTCTTGTTGTGGTCTTTGATTAATCCTCTTCCTTTAACCAGATGAGCGCTATGACAAGAGTTTCCAGGTCAGTGTTTCCATCGATGGAATCAACGAGCAGCACAAGCCCCAGAACGTACTGGGCTCTGGCGTGGCCCACAATCGGACTAGGCACCTGCTCTGTGTGCGAAACGATTGCGAAGAGTTCACAGTGATGCACCTGGGATTCCTAGACTATGCCCACTACATCATCACCGTTCGATTCTTTGGGTTGGAGTCCTTCCACCAGAAGTACAACATACGTAGCATTACGTTCTATGTGAGTGACTGGAGTTCTCCTCTCCTAGTAGCTTTTGTTCATACATCTCTTGTGTTTCAGTTCAAAACCTATAGCCCGGAGTTCACACAGATTGAGATTTGGTTCAGGTGCATCTTCCTGCTCTTCACCTTCATTGTTATCGTAGGTTGAACCAAAGTATATATCTTAAAGATTATTTTTAATATCAATTTCATCGCAGTGCTGGTATGCTCACACTCTTCGCAAATATCCTGTCTACGATTGGTCCATTGAGCAGCGTTGGTTGTCCGTCCTGCTGCCCCTGCTCCTGCTCTACGACAGTACGTGAGATGACAAACCCAAAAGGAATTATAACCCTAACCATCTACCCTCTTGCAGACCCATTCTTTCCGCTGATATTCCTAATGAACTCGTGGCTGCCTGGAATGCTGGACGCCATTCTCCAGGCCACCTTCCTTTGTGCCCTGCTGATGTTCTGGCTGTGCATCTACCATGGTCTCCGCCAGAACGAGCGCAGCTTCGTGCGCTTCTACCTGGTGAAAGTGATCGTCGTCCTGCCCATCTGGCTGTGTGCCATCGTCTTGGCCACCTGGGAGAAGTGCAACGAACTGAGAGATCCCACATACAGCCACTTCGTGGACACAAAGAACTACAATGTGAGTAGGCTGATCATGAATGACATGACTTTTTAACCACTTCTTTTCAATCGTTGACCCATCAGGGCTTTAAGATGTTCTTCTACATAGCCTGTTGCATGTACGTGCTATACTTGGTGCTGTTGATCCTACGCGCCTACACCGAACTCCGATCCATGCCCTATTTTGGTAAGTAACTGGATCGAAAATATAATTCTTTATGTTTAACCTTCCCTACCCTTCCCCAGATATGCGCCTGAAGTTCCTCACGCTCCTCATGCTGTTCGTCCTGTCCATATCCATCACAGTAACCACGAGCCGGTTTGGCTTCGGCATCCTCGAGGACAACTTTGTGGCCTCACTGAACACCACCTACCGCAGCTCGGCACAGTTTATGTGCTTCTATGGGCTGCTCAACTTCTACCTGTATACCATGGCATATGTGTACTCTCCGGACGGCCGATTCGCCCAGGCCGAATTGGCTGTTACCAAGGATAATCCAGCCATTTCCATGATCGATGACTCGGACGAGGATGTTGTGTACGGCTCCGATGAGGAGTCACGCCGCCCTCTCACTTCCGTCGGCGGCGGAGCTGGGAAAAACGATTATGACAGCGATTGATCGGTGGCCGAAGATGATCCCTGGTCGGAGGAGTGGATTTCAAAATGTTCCATTGCGCAAGAGCATGAGTGTTGTAGTGCTAACTAAGTGTACAAAAAACTATTCTCTAACATTATGCATAAAATAAATACGAATTTCCGAAATTAAAGTGCCACGGCTGCGATCGGTCTTAGAGGTTTGCTTTATCCATTATTTTACTAGATTTTTTATTAGATAATTAACACATTGCGCCAGATGATCTCAAAAGCAAAGTAAAACCCTCTAGATGGCCTCGTTGACACCCAATTTCGTCTTGGTCAGAAGTCCTTCGTCGCCCATGTCGGCGTTGTAGCCAGGGCGGTACTTCATGCCGGGAGCCTGTTAGAATTCGTTCCAAAATGAATGAAAGACTCTAAGCACTGGAACCATTTCATGTTGTACTTACGTTGTACCAGACATCACGCCAGACCTTGGTGTCGTCGGCGTTACGCAGAAGCTCCGGAACGTCGAAGCGCGGAACATTGAAATAATTCATGAGGTCGGGCTTCTCATCGCAGTACTTAATGCGGGCCTCGCACCACTCCGCTTCCAGGGGGAAGCGCCAGTCGAGCATCTTCTTGTTGTGGGGATCGGACTCGTGCTGGTTAAAGTCGATGCGCTCAATGTCCTCCACCACAACCTCGGTCTCGCCACCGGCCGTCCAGTCGTAGATGAGCAGCTCGGCATGAGTGGCGATGTCCTTAAGGTACTGCTGCTTGTACAGCTGCTCCACATCGCGCAGATACGCATCGCTGAAGACCTTCGAGTTCGCCTCGTAACCAATGTTGCGAGCCTTGATCTGCTTCTTGACGGCATCTACTGGCAGATCCAGATAGATCACCAGATGCGGCTTCAGAATCTCACTGATGGTGTTCTCGCGCAACTCGTTGTAGACGGATCGGGCTCCGCGGGACAGATACCCTTGACGGAACATGGCCTCCATGAAGACAAAGTCCGAGTAGGGACTCCTCTCGAGCACCACTCCCTGTCCGGTGCTCAAGATGTGTTGCAAGGCGTCGATGTACTGCGAGTAGCGCAGCATGTACATGCGGATCTGGAACTGGGCAGCTAGGTCGTGGTTGGGATCCTGCAGGAAGTTCTTAACGTCGTAGCTGCGGCAGCTGGGCGGTAGCTGGGGATCCAGCTTGCGCATGTCATAGCCGTACGGATTTACGTAGATCAGGTCCAAATCTACTGCAGGAAAGTATTTCATATCCAGCTCGTCCGCCAGCTCCTCGGCAAACTTCGTCTTGCCGGCTGCAACCGGTCCCTCGACGCAGATCACCTTTGAGTTTTCGTCAAAGCGCTGCGAGGTTTTGTCAAAAAAGGAGTTGATAACGCTGTACTTCTTCGTTTTGTAAGGATAGGGGGCGGCCTTCGGTACGCGGGGACCACCGCGCATCGTTTTCCCAGAGATGCTGCACCGCTGCTGGAAGGCGGAGGGCAGGGCGTTCGCCTGAGCCTGCAGCAGACTGGGCGACTGGGAGGCGCGGCTGACGAGCCGCACCAGTCCAACGCGGAATACGGCGGTCATGTTCTGCGAAAGGATAAAAGGGATAGATTCGTTGATACCAATAACAATAATAAAGTACGGCCACCGTGTGTTACATCACAGTAGCTCCTGCAGATTATGAGGTCGTTGCTGGACTTTGATGGCAACGGCAACAGTGATTTCACTTGGTTCCTCTTCCCCCGAGATCGGGCCGTTCGTGATTAAATAAATTTGAAAGTATTGTAGCCAATAGGCCATGTAAAACTCACTTTTCAGGCAAAAATCGAAAATCTACCCAAAAACAATTCGGGCTGAGCGAATGGTGTTGGAAAACGCCAGGAAACAGAGTTACCAGGAGCACATAGGTGGCACAATTCAAATCGTTGTTTTGAATTTATTTTAAAAAGTCTAGGGAAGCTTTCTATTCAGAGTCAAACCAGAAAAAAAAGGAGTAGCTTGTATACGTCTATTATTTATTTTCTATTTCCACCAACTTATAATATTAACAGAACTGGCGTTGACCTGACAACTCTGACGCAACCTTCCTGCACATTTGGATCTCCACAACGTTCGCTACGATGAACTAACCAAATAATAAATCAAAATTAAACGCAACTGGCTCCAGAAATAGAAGAAACATACACAGCCTTGTGGACTAAAGAAACAGGTAAGTCCTGGATGCAGGACGATCCCATGAGCGGATTTGTACCATCCCAAAGTTACGCAACTACATTAGAACTAATGAAATTTCCTCGTGACACAGATTTCTAGTAAAGCAATCCTTAGAAGACATAAAAATACAAATATGGGCAACTCAGCTATTACCAGGGTGCAGATGGAGGCTTCCAAGAGTATTCCAGTGGATCATGCCAAGTTCAGGAGCGCGGGAGGAAGTCCCCCGCCAGAGTGCCCCATGCACCAAAAGGGAGCAGGCGCTGGGGAGAAGCCTCCACACCCCAAGATCCAGGCCTCCGAGTGCCCGGTGCAGCACGACAACAGCGACGTTAACCCATTAAACATGATGCCGCCAGCTAATCAGCAGCCAGCCCCCGATCAGCCTTTTCCCCTGCCCACCGACCGCCAAACTTCAACAATCCCGAAGGTGACCGAAGATGGTAGTGTCCAATTCTGGCAGTATCCCAGCCAACAGATGTTTTGGAACGCCATGTTACGCAAGGGATGGCGCTGGAAGACGGAAGACGTCTCCCAGAAGGACATGGGTGATATCATTCGAATCCACAACGCCAATAATGAGCAGGCCTGGCAGGAGGTCCTTAAGTGGGAAGCGCTGCACGCGAAGGAGTGTGGAAATCCGCGCTTGAAGAGCTTTGGCGGCAAGGCCAAGGACTTCAGTCCCCGCGCCCGTTTCCGCAGCTGGCTCGGGTTAGTACTTCAGTATAAACGAGTTGATAAAAATTCTAAATGGAATTCTTTTTAGATACGAACTGCCCTTTGATAGGCACGACTGGATCGTAGACCGCTGTGGCAAGGATGTGCGCTATGTTATTGACTACTACGACGGTGGCCTGGTGGACAAGGACTATCGCTTTGCTCTCCTGGACGTGCGCCCGGCCATGGACTCTGTTGGCAATGTGTGGGACCGAATGCGCGTTGCCTACATGCGCTGGAAGTACGAGGTGTCCGAAAAGTTTGGCGGTCGCGACGACGGTGGCAAGGTGACCGCGGGCAGCGATTAGTCTGAGAAAGAATATTGGTATATCTGTACAAAATCGGCTTAAGTTATTAGATGCTACTGGAGTTGTAGTTCAATGCGTTTATTGGAGGACAGCTAAAGGATGCAGGAATCCTCGTTGTCCCTTCACGTACCCAAAAATAAAATTTTAATTCTAACTTTTGAACACCCAAGCAATGTTTATATTTTGTTAGCTTTAAGCTCTGAATTATAAGAATTTCATCCACAAATCGTTAAGGTATTCCGATGAAGGATCGGGTGAATATTGGAAAAGATACAGACATCGCCGTGGGCCATATAAGGCGTTCCTCAATATTTCCCCTCATTCCAATGGAGTGCGTAAAAAATTTTTACAAAAATATAAATAAAAAATTTATCAGATATTTAAATGCAGATTTGTGGGGAATCCTTTCCCAGATTATTAAAGATAATCACCTCAAGGATCGGGTGAAAATTGACAGATATGCAGACATCGTGGACCATATAAGGTGTTTCTAAGTATTTCTATCGTGGAACTGTAGACATGTAGATTCTTCTGTCAAATATAAAAATAAAGCTATAAAATATAAATAAAATAATATATACAAATAAAATATAAAGATTTTCGTTTATGTTTGGGCCTTCTAACGTACACTACGGTTGCTTTCGTCACCTACGTGGTTATTAGGTCATTCGATATTTTTTCCGCAGCCCTATTATTTTTTTCGTATTATTCCATGATTACGGAATTTGCGATCCACTACTACTTGACTACCTCGATCGATCCAATTTATTACTAAATGCTAGCTGCCAGAATGAGGTTCGTGCAATATTTGCTCAAAGGTGACTTGTCCAAGCGGCTGGGATTCCTCGCCGAGGACCAAAAGTCCTTGGTGGAGCTTGCCGGTTTGACTGGAGTGCCCAATGACCTTAAGACCCTCATCGCCCAGAACCCCAACCTGGAGGAGCTGGCTCAAAAGGCAGCGAAACAACCTCGACTGGAGATTACCGATGACGTCACGCTGCTACCCCCCCTAACAGATCCCGGAAAGATTATATGCATTGGTGAGAGCATGACCATAAGAGGTGATAATTTCTGATATTAATGAGTTGGTATTTGTTCAAAGGCTTGAACTACCAAGACCATTGTGATGAGCAAAACAAACCGGCTCCAAAGGAGCCACTGTTCTTCAGCAAGTTCAACAACGCATTGGCTGGCCCCCAAGACAACGTCATTGCCCACTTAGCTAGCACCGTGAGTGGCAGAGGGTCCAGATAAGAAGATATGTTTGGACGTTTTGATAACACGAAATATTCCACTCGAATCTTTGCAGAAAATCGACTGGGAGGTCGAACTGGTGGCTGTCATTGGCAAGGTCGCCCAACATGTACCCAAGGAGAAGGCTATGGATCACATTTTCGGTTACACCGTGGCCCAGGACATATCTGCCCGCGACTGGCAGAAGGAGCGCAACGGCGGCCAGTTCCTTATTGGCAAGTCGATGGACACATTCCTGCCCTTGGGGCCAGCGGTGGTGCACAAGAGCCTGGTGCCGAATGTGTATGATTTGTCGTTGAAGACTTGGGTCAATGGCGTGCTGAAGCAAGACGGCAATACCGGCAACTTGATTTTCAAGCTGGACGATGTGATCCACAGATTGTCCCAGACTATGACCTTGCTGCCGGGCGACATTATTGTGACCGGAACGCCTAAAGGAGTGGGCATGCACCGCAGTCCCCCGGAGTTCCTTAAGCCCGGAGATGTCGTAGAGTCGGAGATCGTCGGTCTGGGAAAGCTCCGCAACAACATCGTTGCGCCCTAAATGTTTTTTCGTTGTTTGTTCTTAGTTGTTTGGTTAAAATATGAAACAATGGCATTTAATATTGATAACTATGATTACACTTTAAATGTCTTTGACTGCGTGGCAAAGTATTCGTCTCGCCGGTGGTAGGGCCGGTAGGGGTCGTTGATGTAGTGCTTGGGTCTACGCCAGAAACTGGTTACCATCTTGTCCAGCAGCCAGCTCTGGGTAGCGTTGGTAAAGACGTGCTGTTTCAGGCGCCGCCGCAGAGCCGCTGACTTCTTGAACAGCTTCTTCTGGCGTCCCGAATGGGTGCGAATCCAGGCACCCCACTCCAATCGCTTGAACCGCTTGAGCACGGCCTTGACGGTCTTTCGTTTGCCTTTGACCAGCGAGAACTTGGTAACACTTCTTGTGCTGCCGGCTCCAGTGACGCCTTGGAGAGCAGGTATTTGCAGCAGGCTCACTGGGCTAGAGGCAGTTACTGAGGGAATCGGCAAAAGGCTCGCCTTGGACAAGGTGACCAAGCTAGCACGTTGTGTGCTCTGGAGCAGTGGCACCACTGCCGCCGTCGGCGCCTGCCGGCATACATTTCGCAGAGCTGGAAAACGGAGGAATTTTTAAAAGGGGATATCACCAAAGTCTGACCACTTACCGCCTGCCACAAGAGTTCGCAGCATGATTTTTGGTTAATACAATTAACTCGAAATAATCCAAAAATTCGGCTAGTTCTTCTTCTTATCAAATCGCGTAACAGCAGCCGATCAGCTGATTGCATGGAAAACAATGACATTCACAGCGGGAAGCCTACAAGCACCGGCTGTTATCGTGTCACGTAGGAATGCAAAAATATTTAATATTCTATTAATGATTTCATAAATTTCCAGTTTTTTTAAGGAATATTTAGATTTAAGATGAAGTCTTTGAATTTCTATTACTTTCAAGATGAATCCAATCCCTTCCCAAACGTATACATTTTTCGTAATGTCGTTTCAATTGTGCTTAGTATCTACTTTCCAAACACTTGTCCCTTCAAGACTTTTAAACAAAATTGAATTGTCAAATTCCAGTAGCAGAACCGCAACAAACAGATCCCCAAGAAGACCTGCACGTACCACTGAAAGGACGTGGCGGCATTTGGAGGAAGACCTGAGTGCGTGAGTGTGTGGGATGGAAGAGCAGAAGAGGAAGCAGCAGCATTCACACGCCAGCGCTGACGCAGTCTAGCCAGCTTCGAACGAATCGGTCGAAATTTAACTTCCTTCCGGGAATTCTTCAATTCACGGGAGCAGCATCAGAAGCAGAAGCAGGAGCAGGAGAGCAGAGCGTGACCCACCCACCCACTCAACCATGTATCGACTGGCGGTGCGAGATCAGTGCAAGTGCGCCCTGCAGGTAAGTGCTTTTACTTCGGTGTGATAACGTGAAAATCGATCGTCACGCTGCCCCCTCGCGCCCACAACCCGGCGGCTGGCGAAAATACAAGAGGCGCTGGTTATGTCATATCCCAAGCCCAGGAATTGGCTAAAAAACTCCAAAGTTGCAGATGCCACGGCGATGGGAAGCCTGTGGGTGCTGGGGGGGTGGCCAAATGCTTACCAAATCACCGAAAATAGACGCAGTCTCATCTGATTTCACCCATTTCACAGCGTACGCTGCAGCAGACCACGACAAGTAGCAGCAGGCAGTTTAGCCAGAGCCAGAGCCACAATAACAGCAGGAGGAACCGGGAGCAGGGCAACCAGCAGCAAGGACGGCAAGGATATGGCTACCAGAGCCTTCCCCCGCCGCCAAACATGCGCGAAGCTGGCTTCGGCAAAGTCGTGCTCTTCGTTTCCCCCTTGGCGGCCGTGGGCGGTGTCATTACCTATGCCAAGTAAACGTTGAGATCCCCCTCCCATCAAGAATAAAGCTTGACATAATCTTCTTCCAGGTACGACGACGACTTCCGAAAACTGGTGGAAAACAAGGTGCCTGGAGCCGGTACCGTCATCAAGGTGGCGCTGCAGGAAGAGCCACCGTTCCAGGGCATCAAGAAGAGTGTCAACGAGCAGGTGGACAAGGTCAAGGCCGGCTTTGACACTGTAACCTCATCCGTCGACTCTGTAACATCCAAGGTGACTGGTCTCTTCGGCGGCGGCAGCGAAGAAAAGCCAAAGGCGCCTAAGGTGGAACCAGCGAAGGTGGAGAAGGCTGAAAAGAAACCCCTGACGGTGTCGCCGCCGGTTAAGGTCGAGTCTAAGCAGGTTGAAAAGCCACCCGTCAAGCCAGTTGCGCAGGTGAAGCCTAAAGAGGAGCAGCTGCCTCGCGAGGTTATCGAGCTGGAGAAGACCATTGAGCTGTCCGCCCAGCTGGCCGTCAAGGAGTACAACCACGCAATAAGTGTCCTCAAGAGCTTCAACGAGGATGTGCGCAAAGTGGTGGACAGGGCGGTTGAAAAAGGAGAGAATGCGGTATGGACCACGTTGAGGAATCGCGCCGGAGCCCGTGACTCAGCAGTGGCCACGGCTGAGAGAGCGGCGCGAGAGGCCCAGGAGAAAATTGGTAATTATACTACTAAAAGTGGTCCATTCTTATACGAACAGGTCTTCCCATTCCTATTTTTTAGTTGCATGCGAGATCGCCTTGAGTGCCGCGGCCACGGCGCAGAATGCCAAGAAAGTTGAGGTGGTGCGCGACAAGATTAAGAAGCTTGTGGACCACATAGCCACCGTTAAGGATGAACTTTATCGACACAAGGACACCGCCAGCGTATCCGACAAGTACTGGCTCAACGTGGAGAAGGCGCGCAACTACTTTATTGACGAGATCGAGTCCATCTTCCCGGGGCTGAGTCTAGCCGATCGGACTCTCAACTTGTCCAAGGAGGACCTCGATCTTTTCATCTTGCACGCCTACACCCACGTTCTCGCCTACCAAAAGGAGCTGCAGCGCCTCCAAACTGACGGTGAACTGCGCTTGAAGCGGGCCATTGACTCTCTGCGTGGCGACAGTGATTCGGAGGCATTGCGCGCCCAGCTGGAATACCATCTGGAGGCGGAGCGACGCAAGCTGGCCGTGGAGAACCAAAAGAAGATTTTCCACATCCATGCTGAGTCCGACAAGGTGCTACGCCAGCAGCTCAAGAAGCAGGCCGAGGCCCATGCCGATCACATCAAGGATATCGTGGCGCAGCGTGAGACCGATCTCACGCGCAGCTTCAAGCGCGAGCTAGAGGACAAGTTGGCCACCGAGAAGGCCAACTACAAGCTTCAGCTGGCCGCTATGCTGGGCAAGCTGCGAGGCATGGATGCGGCTCTCCAGGGTAAGTAAAAGCTAGAGTTTCTTTCGGTTTCTGAATAGAACTGTATGCGCTTCTTTGTATCCTTGAAAACACGCTGCCCATTTAGATATTGAGAAAGAGTTCCAAGGTATTATCGCTTGTCATAGTTAGACCTAATTCCAGAATATTTCAATTATAAAATAAAATTTACTAATAAGACTTCACTTTTCGCAGAGCGTGCGGATTCGGAGCGCACTGCCAACCAAGCTCAAGCTCTGTGGGCCGCCTGCCAAGCCCTGTGGGCCTCCGTGCGCACTGCCACTCCCGGTGTTCACTACAAGGAAAAGCTGCGTCCTCTGAAGAACGAGATCAATGCTATTGCCAAGGTGTCCAGTAAGTCCGCCACTCTCGATCCTTAATCTTTTTTAATGAAAATTCATTAACGATCATTCTTTAATCCAGAGGGTGACGATCTGGTGGCAGCCGTGCTGCAGAGCATGCCCCAAGAGGCTCGGGAGCGCGGTGTTTATCCCGAGGATGCCTTGCGGGAACGTTTCTTGAACGTGGAGCGTGTGGCACGCCGGTTGGCGCTGGTTCCGGAGGATGGAGCCGCCCTACCAATCTATTTGCTGTCCTATCTCCAGTCGTTGTTCATCTTGCGACCCGATAATCCCATTTCCAAGGACGAACTCGAAAACAAACCTTTCGACTACAGCAAGTTGGACACCTACGACATCCTGAACAGGGCCAGGTGACTTAAGATTGGTTTTTCAACTATATATGAGTCTAGCAATCGTTTGCTTCCCCAGGTACCATGTGGATCGCAGCGATTTCCTGCAGGCACTGAAGTACTTGAACCTGCTCCAGGGTGCGCCGCGCCAGATAGCCGGCGAGTGGATGAAAGAGGCACGCCTCATGCTGGAGACGCAGCAGGCGGCTAACACCCTAATGGCCCACGCTGCCGCCAGCGGCCTTCTGTATTTGTAGACTACGTCCCCATACCTTTCTCCTTCAAGGATAGAAAGTATACACACACAGACACACCGTATGATTTGTTATTAGTCCAGGAGAAGTCGGATCACAGCCCGCGAACGACAGCGAAACCGCAATATGTAATTTGTCCTACGAGAGATCATAAATATTACATATATTTGTAACATTTTGTTTAGCTTCAATTATACAAATTATATATATAGAAACGCCATTAAGTGAAGCCACAACCAAGATTTGGAATGGCGATTTCGAATGCGATAATTGGATCCTAAATTTTCGATTGTAAAAAATGTATACTAGATTAAACTATGGAACACAGTTAGATAATTGAATTTGAAACCTGGAACGATTACGTTAGTGGTTTATTTTAATGCATTTCATTTTAAGATGCCCCTTCCACACGAATTTAATTAAATAATTCTATATCCGAGGGTGAAATCGCATTAGGGGAGGACGCAATTAAAAGAAGATAAAAAGGGTCAGTAGCTGAAAAAACAAGTTAAATAGAAAGTTCTTTAAATCTTTGGAATTTTTCAAAAATGATTTTTTCAAAATGTAAAGAGCCCGTTAAACAAGTGTTGGAAAATACTCTTTATCCTGGTTCACAACCTCGAATAAGAAATTAGGATTTCTCTGCGACAAAAAAATATAAATAAATGCGTTAATCTGATTTTTTCTAAAAATTTCGTCTTTTTTAATATTTAAAAAGTATTGAAAAACAATTTTACAGGTAAGGTATGAAAAAAATGTATCCTGTTTCACAACCAGGGAAATTTCACTCATATTGGGAAATTGAAAAAAAATGAAACAGCTGATTGAGCTCATCAGCTGATTTGCGTGGTCCTATTGAAATTTTCGGTTCGGCTCCGTGGAAGAAATAAACGCAAATTCTCTGTGCCCCCACAATTTCGCACACTCAACGAATTTCTGCACCGCAACTGAGTTGACCGTTCCCTCATTAGCAAGATGTCGATGCTGGCCAGAACCGTTGGGCGCACCCTCATGCAGGTAACTGTCGGCGTTCCGATTCCGTAGGTCTTACATAAACACTTTGGGCCAGCGCGACGCTGTGCGAATATTGAATCGGAGCTGTTCTGCGTTTGAGGTTATAATCCTAGTTGGTAATCCCATCTATATCCTTCTTTCAGGCTGCTGCTGCAAGGAGTGCTCAATCCACCACCAGCGTTCGCGTGAGTTTCCTCGATTTCCTTACGATTTCAAAAATTTGACTTGAGAATTCGTTTACCTTTCAGAAGGAACATTCGCATGGTGCTGCCAACAGGACCACCTGCACACTGATTCCCGGAGATGGTGTAGGTCCGGAGCTGGTCTACTCCCTGCAGGAGGTTTTCAAGGTGGATAAATGTGCTTAGAATAGTCCTTCAGTTAGTAAACATAAATATTTTGTTTGCAGGCAGCTAGCGTGCCTGTGGATTTCGAGTGCTATTTTCTTTCTGAGATCAATCCCGTGCTGAGCGCGAAGCTGGAGGATGTTGTCGCCTCCATTCAGAAGAACAAAGTCTGCATTAAGGTGAGGAACCCACAACCCACTCGGGAAAACTATTTGCTAATGACTGTCTTTCCAGGGCATTCTGGCCACTCCCGACTACAGCAATGTGGGCGACCTGCAGACCTTGAACATGAAGCTGCGTAACGACCTTGACCTCTACGCCAACGTTGTCCATGTGCGCAGTTTGCCCGGCGTCAAGACCCGTCACTCCAACATCGACACCGTCGTGATCCGTGAACAAACCGAGGGCGAGTACTCTGCTCTGGAGCACGAGTCGGTTCCCGGTATCGTAGAGTGCTTGAAGATCGTCACTGCCAAGAAGTCCATGCGCATTGCCAAGTTCGCCTTCGATTACGCCACAAAGAATCAGCGCAAGAAGGTCACCGCCGTGCACAAGGCCAACATCATGAAGCTTGGTGACGGTCTCTTCTTGCGGTCCTGCGAGCAGGTCTCAAAGCTCTATCCCCGCATCCAGTTCGAGAAGATGATTGTGGACAACACCACCATGCAAATGGTGTCCAACCCCAATCAGTTTGACGTTATGGTTACCCCCAATCTGTACGGTGCCATCGTTGACAACCTGGCCTCCGGTCTCGTGGGTGGTGCTGGAGTCGTAGCTGGTGCTTCGTACTCATCGGAGACGGTGGTCTTTGAACCGGTAAGATAAGGCTGATGGACGCAGCTATAAACCCGAGATTTATGTCTTCCGGTATTTTTCAGGGTGCACGTCACACCTTCGCCGGGGCCGTGGGCAAGAACCTGGCAAATCCCACAGCCATGCTGCTGTGCGGTGTCAAGCTGTTGCGCCACATTAACTTGCCCACCTACGGCGAGGTCATCCAGAACGCCATCAACAAGGTGCTGGTCGACGGCAAGATTCGCACCAAGGATCTGGGCGGACAGTCCACCACGCAGGACTTCACCCGCGCCGTCATCCTCAACATGTCCTAGATCAGCAATATTGACTCTCGACCACCACCTAGACCACTAGACAGTTCCATTGTTGTTGCCGCAGCCCAAAATTGATTTGTCTAAAAGGAAAAGACGCCACAGGATTTTCTTTCTGCCCCATTTTAAGTTGCCTCCCCGAATGCATTTTGTTTTGAGTATTATTTCTTGGCGAATATCTATGTTTAGTCCAATTATACCGCCCAGACCCGAATTCTTAGTTTTACCAATTGGCAGTACCCCCCCGAGTTTTGTAATTATTTACGTATTATTTTTTTCCTTCCCACTTATTTTCGAAACCAAATGGTCCTCTTAGGCGCAATCGCAAAAAAACCTCAAACTTTGATTAAAAATGATATTGTTAAACCAATATAAAGATAGCGAACGACGACCGCACTGGAGCCGGAGTGGCGATAACCAGAAGCACTCAACTCTAAATTAATTATTATTTAAAAAGCCAATTGTCAGTTTGAGCTGTCTAAATTTTAAGTAATACAAACAAAAGAAAAGAAAAAAGAAAGCCCGAGAAGCATTTTTGTTTGCCTTTTTATCTGTAATGTCGCGACGTCTACCGTCTTGGCAGAGAATGGCCAGCCACTCGCATCTCGTCCAGCAATTCCTCAGGCAAACTAACTCGTGGGGGGATCTCTTTCACTTGCCGGGACGACGTTGCCGGTCGTACAACCAAGAGTTTCCGCCGGAGAGGGTGCGAAAAGTTGGGAGTCGTCCAGCCTACTCGAGTCCTCGGTAAGTTGGTGGTTTATGGTCCAGTTTCTTCTGAAATCCTTAGAAAGGACTTTATGGCCAGCAATCGTGTGGGGTGTTCTGAGGAAGTTCGGAATGTTAGGGGGTCACCCCATCAAAGAATATTGGCACAAAACAATCTCCTGGTCCAACAAGGGTAAGTTGTTATCCCGGATATATGTTTTGCTTTCATAATGACAACCTTTGCTTGGTCTCCAATGATCTTGATCTTGCTGGATGTCCTTCAAAAAGGTTCCAGAAGCCAACCTACTCCCGGAAGCGTCTCGAGGACTTGGCCACCCCCAAAAGGAAGCTCTTTCCGACTCAGAAGATTTCCCCAAGTAACCTTGGGGAAGTCTTGAGGAGATCCGTTCGTAGTACCAAAGGGGACATACCCCTTACGAATCCATTCGAGAGATACATTCAGGGTGGTTCCTTCTCCAAAAAACCTCTAAAAGTCAAAAGACTTGAAAGTTCTTTGAAGAAGTCATCACAACGGAATCTTGAAGACCTTTTTGGAGAGCTTGATTCCCGCTCCTTGAGCACCTACATTGTGGCGTCCGACCGCCTTGTGGAGTTGGCCAGGAGTAAGAAAATGGAGGAACCAGTTCCCAGCAAGTCTTGCAAACTTAATAAGGTGATGCGGAGCTTTAAACCCAGCCAGCGACTTCTGGAGAGGCACGAATCGGGCCAGAGAAGTTGGTGTGCCCTTCGTTATAAAGGTAGGAAAATATATTAAAAAAAGGTTTTATTAACTTTGTTTTTCCAGCCTCTCCCAGGATTTCCCAGTTGGCAGGATGTAGCAGAAAGATCCAAAGCGATTGCCTGATATGTACCAAAAGCGAGATCCGGGGACCCACGCCTCAACGCCTCAACGAGTTGGCCAAACCCAAGCTAAGAAAGGACAACTCCACTAGGTCATCACCATTCCAAGTGCCTAGTCGAGCGCTTAACGCAAAGATCACTCCTAGGCTGATAGAGCTGGCGAGGCCAAGGCTTTGAGAGGATTAGAGGATCACTTCTACATCCCTGTTGTTGGATTATTTGAAAATGAGTGTTTTAAAGACAGAAAATTAAGCCTATTCTGACAACGAAAGGAGAAACGGGACTGAAACATTCAGATCCCTCTCGCTTTTCGTTGCCAAAATAGTTTTAATAATATTTAATGTGAATTTTTAATCCTTCCTATAATGAAAAGTAAAAAGGAAAAATAAATTATTCTCAATCATCTCCATCTCCATCAATTTTCCATCAGAAGCTCATTTAAAACATTGCCAGAATAGTTTTCAAATTTTTCGAATTTTTTCCTACCCTAAATGGTGGTACCCTCATGGTGGATTTTCCTGATTTCCCCACTTTTGCTCCTTCCGATGGCCATAGCTCTGCCATTTCGTATCCGATCAGGAAATAATGTACCATTCTGTAATCAGCAAACCCAAAAGCGACTTTCCTCATTTACACCATTGGTTAAATATCGTTTTAAAATTTTTCGAATTTTTTCGGTGTACCCCTATAAAATTGAGGAAGGAGTTTCTGGTCCTTTTCCTCCAGATCCAGTCCATCCTTCCCGAGAGGATGTGGCAGCTCCTTCTGGCCCTGTGGCTCCTCCAGGGCCGAGGTTCGGGTGAGCCAGTTGCTCCAGTCTAATCCACAGAAACTCCTTCCTCCAGTTCTGGATCCTCCAAAAAACTTGGTGCCTTCCTCCAGATGCAGTGCATCCTTCTCGAGAGGATGGGGCAGCTCCTCCTGGGCCTCTGGCGCTTTCAGGCCAAGTTTCCTGATCGGGTTCCGGATCGGGTGCATCCTCGTTGGTGTCGCCACTGGGTCGCATTGCATCCGATGGGATGACGTGGCTGTAAGATGCCCTCTTCCAGATGAGGGCCAAGGTTCGGGTGAGCCAGTTGCTCCAGTCTAATCCACAGAAACTCCTTCCTCCATTTCTGGATCCTCCAAAAAACTTGGTGCCTTCCTCCAGATGCAGTGCATCCTTCTCGAGAGGATGGGGCAGCTCCTCCTGGGCCTCTGGCGCTTTCAGGCCAAGTTTCCTGATCGGGTTCCGGATCAGGTACATCCTCATTGGTGTCGCCACTGGGTCGAATTGCATCCGATGGTATGACGTGGCTGTAAGATGCCCTCTTCCAGATCAGGGCCAAGGTTCGGGTGAGCCAGTTGCTCCAGTCTAATCCACAGAAACTCCTTCCTCCATTTCTGGATCCTCCAAAAAACTTGGTGCCTTCCTCCAGATGCAGTGCATCCTTCTCGAGAGGATGGGGCAGCTCCTCCTGGGCCTCTGGCGCTTTCAGGCCAAGTTTCCTGATCGGGTGCATCCTCGTTGGTGTCGCCACTGGTTCGAATTGCATCCGATGGTATGAAGTGGCTGTAAGATGCCTTCTTCCAGATCAGGGCCAAGGTTCGGGTGAGCCAGTTGCTCCAGTCTAGTCCACAGAAACTCCTTCCTCCAGTTCTGGATCCTCCAAAAAACTTGGTGCCTCTTCCTTCATATCCAGTGCATCCTTCTCGAGAGGATGGGGCAGCTCCTTCTGGGCCTCTGGCGCTTTCAGGCCAAGTTTCCTGATCGGGTTCTGGATCGGGTGCATCCTCGTTGGTGTCGCCACTGGTTCGAATTGCATCCGATGGTATGACGTGGCTGTAAGATGCCCTCTTCCAGATCAGGGCCAAGGTTCGGATGAGCCAGTTGCTCTAGTCTAGTCCCCAGAAACTCCTTCCTCCAGTTCTGGATCCTCCAAAAAACTTCGTGCCTTCCTCCAGATGCAGTGCATCCTTCTCGAGGGGATGGGGCAGCTCCTCCTGGACCTCTGGCACCTCCACGCCAAACCTCCTCTTGGCTCCTGGTCCGCCGGCTTTTTAAAGCCGGCAAAGTCGAACTAATTTTTGGCGCTTTTTGCCGGCGCTTAGGTGCTACCTATGAGAATCGAGGAGGAGGGGGCTGTTTTTTTTAATTAAATAATTAATAAAATTAAATTAATAATAAAATTAAATTTAAAAATTTAATCCGATGGGATGACGTGGCTTTAAGATGCACCTCTTCCAGATCAGGGCCAAGGTTCGGATGAGCCAGTTGCTCTAGTCTAGTCCCCAGAATCTCCATCCTCCAAGAAGCTTGGTGCCTCTTCCTCCAGATCCAGTGCATCCAGTGAGGATGGGGCAGCTCTTTCTAAGCCTCTGGCACTTTCAGGCCAAGTTTCCTGATCGGGTTCCGGATCGGGTGCATCCTCGTTGGTGTCGCCACTGGGTCGAATGGCATCCGATGGGATGACGTGGCTGTAAGATGCCCTCTTCCAGATCAGGGCCAAGGTTCGGGTGAGCCAGTTGCTCCAGTCTAGTCCACAGAAACTCCTTCCTCCAGTTCTGGATCCTCCAAAAAACGTGGTGCCTCTTCCTCCAGATGCAGTGCATCCTTCTCGAAAGGATGGGGCAGCTCCTCCTGGGCCTCTGGCACTTCCAGGCCAAGCCTCCTGATCGGGTTCCGGATCGGGTGCATCCTCGTTGGTGCCGCCACTGTTGTTGAATTTTGATGCAGAATGGTGGTGACTCGATCCAGAAATCGTTTAAGATACTCCGCTTAAGAATCGGATAAGAATTGAGGAAGATATAGCCATCACTGTGGGCCATATAGGGGAAAACCTCATCACGAAAAATGGACAAAAAATCTAAAAAATATTTTGTCTCAGGATTTTTATGCAGAATGGTGAAGAATCGATCTAGAAATCGTTTAGGCACTTCGCTTGAGAATCGGATAAGAATTGAGGAAGATATAGCCATCACTGTGGGCAGTGGCGGATTTAAGAAAAAAAGGCCCAGTGGGCAAAATTTTTTCAGGGTACATTGAAGGGTATTTTGAAGGGTACATCCCAGAAAATTTGACAAAAAATCTTAAAAATATTCTGTTCCTAGATTTTGATGCAAATTTATGGAGAATCGATCCACAAATCGTTTAAGGTATTCCGTTCGAGAATCGGATGAATATTTTCTAAGATATGGCCTTCGTAGTGGGTCATATGGGGCTCCCCATGCATTTTGCACATTTTGAAGGGTACATCCCAGAAAATTTGACAAAAAATCTTAAAAATATTCTGTTCCTAGATTTTGATGCAAATTTATGGAGAATCGATCCACAAATCGTTTAAGGGGAGGGTAAGGTCAAATCAAGCGAAAAAAGCCATGTTTTTGTGATTTTTTTCCTGACGACACAGTTAAAATTTATTTATTCAACCAACGGTATATTAAAGTATGATATTAGAAGAATGTTTAATAAAATTCGCCAAAAAAAGTTGAATTGCGGTGCCCCTCATAACTCGGTGCTGGATCATTTGTAATCAAAAAATGAAAATTCATTCGTTAGATAATAGTTCGCCACAGGTAACGCTGTAAAGGTTTTTTGAAAATTGCAATTTTTTAATTTTTTCGAAGACTTTGAAGTGAAAAACTCAATTTTTTGGGAAAAAAATCGGTTAATTTGTCATTGCGAAATCAAAATTATGAAAAAAAAAAAAAAACTCGACAGCGTTACCTCGTAAAATATGTACAGAAATAGTGTTTTAAATTTCAAAAGGATCGGTGCAGTAGTTTTGAAGTTA